ATTTGATTCATAATAATTTCAAAATATTCACTCAATCAACGATTAAAATATTTCAAAATTCAACTATTTGGGCCATGAAGCCCATTTACGTTTTTCACAATGGATTAAGTGTTATTTTATAGAGAAAGTCAAAGTTTCATCCCTTCCATATTGGCGATGTGGGACAAATATGTTCTCTTCAATATTTGGTTGATAATATTGTGACCAATTTCTGTCAAGTATTTATTCGTCAAAAATCACTCACGAAGTTTTGACCAAATTTTGTTTTAGTTGATAAATGGTAAGAATTTTGACTATTTACTGACCACTTGTATTAGTCAAAAAAAGTTTGATCATATTTTGACGAGTTTAAATTTTCATAAGTTTTTGGTCGAAAATTTGTCAACAAACATTTTGACCAATTTATTGGTAAAAAAATTCGTAAAAAATTAACATGTTTTCTTAACCAATTTTCAACCAATCTTTTTGTCGCAAGTTTTCGACCATTTTTTGACAAATTTACGAATCCGTTCAATGGTCGAAAAATTTCGACCAATTTTTGACTCTTATATTTCATCATATTTTCTAAACTAATTTATAACAAAAATAAACATTCGTCTAAAATTGGTCGATCAAAATAATTTTGACCAAAAAAATTGGTAAAAAATTGATATATTTTCTTGTAGTGGAATCAATAACATAATTATGAGAATGGTACGGAACTCCCAATTAAATATGTTGTGGACTAATGGTTTATCTCTAGAGCTGGATTTATAACCTTTTCTCGATGCAGTCCGATTTTTGTATTGAGGTTTTTTTTTGTTTTTAATATAGGTCTGAACCTTTTTTTTTTTTGCCAAAACATTTCGGTCTGAACTTGTAGGTAAGAAAACGTAAGCTATGGTTTTTCCATCCATTATATTTAATTAATCTACTTGTTTGAAAATTTTTGTAGAGCTTTTTTAATAATTTTTTGGTTTTGATTTGATTCGATTTCAATATCTATTGGAGTTTATCTAACAAAATACAATGAATGGAAAACCATAGGTAGTGACTTCGCTAACTTCTAAGTCTAGTAGAATCATCGGTTGAAGAAATTGGTTTATATACATACATCATGATATCATCTAATATGTATCCTACTACAATATTGTAAATTTATTTTTGAAAATGGTATATTATAGTTTAGAATCCGTACGTGGATTGTATGTTCACCATGAACGTCAACATATAGGTACGCAGTCTCGCTTAGTTGGACTCACTACTTCGTCTTATTCTATTGCAATATTATTTAGGGTTATCTTATAACTTTTTTTATTCTTCATCTGTCTTACACTACAAGAAAACAGCCACTATTCCGACGGAAATTCCGACGGCCAATATTTCCGTCGGAATT